CTCGAAAGATTCAGATCTTCCTTATCTAGAATGTTGACGGAGAGGGCAATGAGAGCAGACAGTTTCGAAAATCCCTTAGCCTCAAGAAGCGAGGCTTCCGTAAGAGTGAGAGTGTGCAGGTTGGTGAGCAGCGAGAGAGCATCTAGCAGCTTGCCGTATCGATGCAAGCAGTAGAGCGAGATGTGCTGCAGCTGATTGCAGCGACGGATGAAATTGTCCAAACCAGCTTCAGTCACCGGATACTCATCCACCCACTCCCAGTCCCAGTCCGGCGCGATCTCCTTCCCCACATGCAGGGAAACCAGTTTAGGGCATGACGACGCGAGGAAATCGAAGAAGGCGTCGTTCATTGTCTCCACGTTGTTGTTGCTGAGATGCAGATGTGAGAGGTTGGGGAAGCACCTGATGGCAGCGATGAGATCTTGGAGCGAAACGACAATGTTTTTTTTCCACGAGGAGCATGGAGACTTGACGGCGAGCCAAGTGACGCCAGAGTTTGCAAACGAACGCGATGAGGAGGTTGTAGGCAGGATCTGTAAGTAAAGTAGGAGCTGACAACAGAGTGGTTCCAGAAGTAGCATTATCGCTGTTTGACGGCTGCAGGGAGGACGATTCCGAGCCTCCTAAGCTGCCGACATATTCGCCATACGGGCTTTCGAAGGAGTATCTCGGGCGAATTGAGACGTAAACCACTGATTGGTAACCGCTGCTTTGGGGATTACGACCAACATAGACATGCTTTTGAGAGTGCCAGAAGATTCTAACGAGGTAATAATTTGACAGGTTGTTGATGTATGAGCGAGGCATGGTGGCGTCAGCAAGCTTACTGTGCTAGTTCAGGTGATTGTGAGCTAACGCCTGTGGATATACCGGAAACATGCGGGGTTTTACAAGGTCCAACGAGCTATGTATGAGTTCCAGAGCTCCATAATATCACGGAGTGACGTGTGTCCGTCTCATATGTTATGCTTTGCTCAATACGTGATGGAAGACCGTCGACCCACCGTCGACCCCCATTCCGTTGAGACATTCCATAAGAATGCAGACTCGGGTTCCCTTGTCGTAAAGTGAAACATACCATCACTTGCATTTGTATGAGACACTTCGAACGCCCAGGAAATTTGGGAAACGGGGTGTCGTCAAAAGCAAAACGAAATTTTGATGGACTCAATTCGTGTTTCGAGATTTGAGGAGCGTCCCTTACCACACGTGAGAGGGGCTGGTGAGGGACGCGTGTCCCCCACTGCCCTCCCTGTGTGCCTGTCTCTCCATCACACACAGCGCCCTGCGCCTCTCCTCCCCTTCCCACTCCCCTTCGCTCTCCTTCAGGACGTGCATCGGTACCGTGCATCATCGCACTGCCAGTACCAGTGGCGAGAGGGCCTGGTGAGGGACGCGTGTATCATCCCTCTGCTATGCTCCTCCCCCCTTTCTTCCCAGGACGTGCCTTTATACCGCGCATCGTCGCACTGCCAGTACGAGTGGCGCGAGGGCCTGGTGAGAGACGTGTTCGCCCTGGTGCCGCACCACAGCTTTGGGCACTGCGACAACAACATGAACGGCAGTGATGCTGAGCTGCTGCTCTACCCTGAGTGCACCCACCCGTGAGTGGGAGGGGGGGGGGAGTGAGTGGGAACAGGGAGGGAGGGATGTGGGCACCTGGGTGGTAGTGGCAATGGCATTGGGCACTGTGGCAACAACATGAACGGCAGCAACGCTGAGCTGCTGCTCTACCCTGAATGCACTAACCCGTGAGTGGGAAAGGGGGATAGGGGGGAGGTGAAGCGAGGACTCACACACCCATGAGTGGTTGGGTTGGGAAAGGGAGGGAGCAGCTTAGCACCTCAGTGGTGTTGGCTTGGGGCACTGCGACAACATGAATGGGCAGCGATGCTGAGCTGCTGCTGTACCCTGAATGCACTCACCCGTGAGTGGGGAGAGGGGGGGAAGGGGGGATTCACACACCCATGAGTTAGAGGAGTGGGAGAGGGAGGGATGTTAGCAACGTAGCACCTGAGTGGTATTGGCTTTGGGCACTGCGACAGCAACGTGAACGGCAGTGATGCTGAGCTGCTGCTCTATTCTGAATGCACTCACCCGTGAGTGGGACGGGGAGGGGATGGGGGGATGAAGAGAGGATTCACCCACCCATGAGTGAGAGGGGGTGGGGTGGCCAGGAAGGGAGGGATGTTAGCAACTTACGACCTCCACTGGTGCGATTATCGTAAGGCACAACGTCACGAGTGTGCAGGGAGGGTAAGGCGTCACGTGGCGAGTGTGCAAGGAAGATAGTTGAAGGTGAATAGGGGGCGGCGCCAGTGCATGATGGGCTCGTGGGAGCACCCCCCTTAAGGTATCACAACACAACACACTCTCCGTACTCCATGCTTGCTTCCCTCACGCCACTCTTGCGCCACGGCCTGGTCCCACAGCGTTCCAGGCCATGCACGGCACACCGTCACCCCGCATGGGCACAGTAGTACCTCAAGCCTCCTGTTGCGTGCCTGCACCTTAAATTGCACCCAACCCTTCATTCTCTCCCTTCCCACCCCTCCGTGTGCTGTGCATGCACCCTCGGCCAGAGTGATCTGCATTCTGAACAGAAGCAGATAAGAGCGCCACGTTGCATGCAGTGCAAAAGCAGATAAAAGTAGATAAAAGCTTCGTGCATGGACATGGCGGGATGAGAAGCATTCAGAAGAAGGAAATCACAGCGTGTGCCATGTTACACTACAAGTTCACCCCCACTCCTCCCCCTCTCTGCCCCATGTGCATACACCCCCCATACCCTCCATCCACCACCTTCCCAGGATGAGAAGCATTCAGAAGAAGGAAATCACAGCGAGTGCCATGTCACCCCCACGCTCCCTCCCCTTCCCCCCCACGTGCACCTTCCCAGCGTGATAAGCGTACTGAAGCAGGAGATATCAGCGTGTGCCATGTCGCACTACAAGTTCATTCTCAGCACCGAGAACACCCGTGTGCCCGGCTACGTCACCGAGAAGGCCCTGGAGCCCCTCGAAGCAGGCACGGTGCCCGTGTACCACGGGGCCCCTGACATCCACCAGTTCATGCCGCCTGAATCGTTCATTGATGGTTCCAAATACACGGCTGCCCAGCTCGCCACGCTCATCACGGCACTCAACAACGACCCAGGTGCGTCAAAACACACTCTTGAGAACGCTCGAAGTCATTCCTATATAGCAGCTCCTCAAAGTCACCTTCCTGAAGCCCCTGGGAAGCCCCTGGAGGCGGGCACGGTGCCACGGGGCGCCCGACATCCTCCAGTTCATGCCGCCTGAATCGTTCATCGATGGATCCAAGTATTCTTCTGCGCAGCTCGCCACACTGATCACTGCGCTCATCAAACAACCCATGTGCGCTGTTTGAGGCACCTCAAAATCCACTTGTGAAAATATCAAAAGCAACTTCAAAATAACAGGCTCTCACATGCCTCCTTGCTGGAGGCCCTGAAGGCTGGGTGACTTCTGAGTCGACTCGAAAGGCGCTCATCCAGGTAGGGGCGTGCATGCATCATCGTGATCCAGGCAACATGATTATCTTGGCATCATCACCATCAGCAGCATCACCATCATCAGCATCACCATCATCAGCATCACCATCATCAGTAATGCGATAATTTGCTCGCATTGCACCTACTCCTGTCCATGCATTTTCATAACTTGGCATTTCTGTCTTGTGGACGCTCCTTTCCTTTACTGTGCTCATTGTTCTCACTGTGCTCACGTACTTGTTTCCTGCCTCTTGTGGGGCGGTGCGGTGCTGTGTGGTGTGCTGCGGTGAGCAGTGAAGTACATGAACTATTTTGCGTGGCGCATGTGTGGAGTGCCGGGTCCACTCGCCCATGTCACAGCACTCAACTTCGACTCCTTCCCCTGCCGCCTGTGCGAGGCTGTCAGCGCCCGTGGGGGCAGAATGTTCTAGTCGGCACTCTGCATGCAGGGCGGTGCAGTGTGGTGCGGTGGGGTGTGCATTGAGGTACATCCACTCCTTCCCCTGCTGCCTCTGCGAGGCTGGCTGTCAGCCCTTGAGGGTGCGGAATGTTGTACTGGCGGCAGAGGAAGGAGTTGTAATACCGTAGCATAATGTTTCGGCTGCATACTGGTGCAGAATGCTCTCTTGAGGTCGTTGGCCTCTGCATACCGGTGTGCCAGCCTGTTGGGCACGCATGTCCACTCAAAAGTCGTTGAAATGCCAGCTGTATTGAATGCGTGAATTACCGGTACCCAGAATGTAAGAAGCATGTTGTAATTGTTCGAAACAGCATTGCTTGCAGCAAATACTGCATATGCGAATTCCACCCTGGAAAGGGCTTGGTTGGTGTGCGTGGGCGGGGAGTAGGTGTGTGCAAGGGTGGGGAGGGGAGAGGGCAGGGGAGTGAAGAAGAGAGGGCAGGGGAGAGGGTGGGAGCAGGAGAATCAATGCGAAGTTGCTTTCCAAATCACCTTTGAGCATGTTGGTAGTGTGACCCTGGCATGGCATGACATGGCATGGCATGGCACGGGGCATGGGGGAATGGGGCACGGGCACGGTACAGCCGCATCAGCCTCACGTCTCATGGTGCTAATTGGCTTGAGTGAGGGAAGAAAGCACATACCCAGTAAGCTGCTGTCGTCCCTCGCACGAAGTCGGGCACGAGGTCGGGCACAGGCGTGTATGATGAGTTATGAAGGATAGTTTTGGAACGACCAAGAGATGCCTTCCTGGATCCTCATTTCATCTCAGCTCATGCCATCTCTTTTTGATGCGGAATCAGCCCCTTTTTCAAAAAGCAAATGGGACTTGATTGGGTACAACATAACATGCCATACAGAGGGCACATGTGTCCTCCTCGGACATCATCTAGAGAAACAGCAGTGCAGCAAGCAGCGTCGCCAGCAGTGCTTTCGGCCAACCTGCAAGCAGACAAAGCGGAGAGTGCCGATGAGGCAAACACAGATTCCAGAAGCAAGAGTCAAGGGTAGCAATGACATGAAGCATCAACATGCTGAGGCCAGTGGGGCTACAGCAGGTGGGGCTGCAACAGGTGGGGCTGCAACAGGTGGGGCATCTCATGGGCAGAGCAAGCATGCTCACCAGAGACACATAGTCTGTGAGTGGTCCTGGGGTGTGGAGGAGGGGCATGGTCACGGTTGTAGCGCAGAATGTCTTCTGTCACCTCGCCCATGCTGCCCAGATAGGCCCGGGTCAATGACTCGACTTGCACCAATCCCTTGGCACTGGGGGTGATAGGCAGGGTGGGGATGGGAAGGGGCACACGCATAAGGTCACACATGGCACTGCCCAGATAGGCCCGGGTCAATGAGTCCACGTGCACCAGTCCCTTGGCACTGTGTGCGAGAGGCAAGGCGGGGATGGGGAGGGGCACATCCATAAGGTCACACATGGCAGTGCCCAGAGCAGCAGCAGCGCAACTCGTCCACATGCACTAGCCCCTTGGCACTGTGAGCCACAGGAGGATAAGGTGCACTGCACACTGAGGCACACACATGACACCACATGTGGATCATCGAAAGCGATGGTTCAGGCAGCACGGATGAGGGGCCAGGGCAAGGGCGAACATTGTTACCCAGCAACTCAACACGGCCTCAGGCAGCACGAATGCAGAAGGCGTGGAAAGGAAGGCGTGGAAAGGAGCACGAGAGGGAAGGGGGAGCAGAGGGATGCGGAGCAGAAGCGCCAGGCACACAGAATGCAGTCACAGGGCTTGTGCCCCGCCCCTCGTGTCACAGGGCTTGTGCCCCGCCCCTCGTGTGACAAGGCTTGTGCCCGGCCCACAGTATCGTGCATGCCTTGAAGCATTCAATTAGAAACATGGAGCAGTGCAGTGGGAGCAGTGATGAACACTGGGGGTGGTCCCTTTTAGACAGTGAATATACCTTTTTGAGACTTTACAGAAGGAAACACAGAGTACATGCATAGAGCACGTGGTGGTGAGCTACCTGCCCGAGAGGATGTAGTCGAAGGGGTTGCGGCCCTCGTATAGTGCCTCCCGCCACGCCCTGACGGTGCCTGCCAGCTCCAGGCGCGCCACTATGGCCCGCTTGAAGCGTTCCGATATGCTGTTGCGCGTCATTACCACGCTGGCTGGTACGCTGCCGAAGCTGGCAGACTCAAGCAGCAGAGGGGGGGCAATGAGCAGGGGGGGGTTGATACGCAGGGGCGGCGTTAGTATGAGAGAGTGAGGTGCAGGCACATGTGTTGCGCATGAGTGTGGTAACGGCCGACTTTTGAGAAGTCTCAAAAGGCATGTGTGGTAACGGCCGACTTTTGAGACATCTCAAAAGGCATGAGTGTGGTAGTGACCGGCCACCGGCGGCACAGGAGCCTTGCACTGTATGACCTTTAATTTACTCAGAGGTCACACTGGTGGTACAGGAGCCCAATGATAAAGTAGTGGCAGAGAGACATGGCAGAGAGACATGGCAGAGAGACATGGCAGAGAGACATGGCAGAGAGACATGGCAGAGAGACATGGCAGAGAAACATGGCAGAGAGACATGGCAGAGAGACATAACAGAGAGACATGGCAGAGAGACATGGCAGAGAGACATGGCAGAGAGACATGGCAGAGAGACATAGCAGAGAGACATGGCAGAGAGACATAGCAGAGAGACATGGCAGAGAGACATGGCAGAGAGACATGGCAGAGAGACATGGCAGAGAGACATGGCAGAGAGACATGGCAGAGAGACATGGCAGAGAGACATGGCAGAGAGACATGGCAGAGAGACATAGCAGAGAGACATGGCAGAGAGACATGGCAGAGAGACATGGCAGAGAGACATGGCAGAGAGACATGGCAGAGAGACATGGCAGAGAGACATGGCAGAGAGACATGGCAGAGAGACATGGCAGAGAGACATGGCAGAGAGACATAGCAGAGAGACATGGCAGAGAGACATGGCAGAGAGACATGGCAGAGAGACATGGCAGAGAGACATGGCAGAGAGACATGGCAGAGAGACATAGCAGAGAGACATGGCAGAGAGACATGGCAGGAGACATGGCAGAGAGACATGGCAGAGAGACATGGCAGAGAGACATGGCAGAGAGACATGGCAGAGAGACATAGCAGAGAGACATGGCAGAGAGACATGGCAGAGAGACATGGCAGAGAGACATGGCAGAGAGACATGGCAGAGAGACATGGCAGAGAGACATGGCAGAGAGACATGGCAGAGAGACATGGCAGAGAGACATGGCAGAGAGACATGGCAGAGAGACATGGCAGAGAGACATGGCAGAGAGACATGGCAGAGAGACATGGCAGAGAGACATGGCAGAGAGACATGGCAGAGAGACATAGCAGAGAGACATGGCAGAGAGACATGGCAGAGAGACATAGCAGAGAGACATAGCAGAGAGACATGGCAGAGAGACATGGCAGAGAGACATGGCAGAGAGACATGGCAGAGAGACATGGCAGAGAGACATAGCAGAGAGACATGGCAGAGAGACATGGCAGAGAGACATGGCAGAGAGACATGGCAGAGAGACATGGCAGAGAGACATGGCAGAGAGACATGGCAGAGAGACATGGCAGAGAGACATGGCAGAGAGACATGGCAGAGAGACATGGCAGAGAGACATGGCAGAGAGACATGGCAGAGAGACATGGCAGAGAGACATGGCAGAGAGACATGGCAGAGAGACATGGCAGAGAGACATGGCAGAGAGACATGGCAGAGAGACATAGCAGAGAGACATGGCAGAGAGACATGGCAGAGAGACATGGCAGAGAGACATGGCAGAGAGACATAGCAGAGAGACATAGCAGAGAGACATGGCAGAGAGACATGGCAGAGAGACATGGCAGAGAGACATGGCAGAGAGACATGGCAGAGAGACATAGCAGAGAGACATGGCAGAGAGACATGGCAGAGAGACATGGCAGAGAGACATGGCAGAGAGACATGGCAGAGAGACATAGCAGAGAGACATGGCAGAGAGACATGGCAGAGAGACATGGCAGAGAGACATGGCAGAGAGACATGGCAGAGAGACATGGCAGAGAGACATGGCAGAGAGACATGGCAGAGAGACATGGCAGAGAGACATGGCAGAGAGACATAGCAGAGAGACATGGCAGAGAGACATGGCAGAGAGACATGGCAGAGAGACATGGCAGAGAGACATGGCAGAGAGACATAGCAGAGAGACATAGCAGAGAGACATGGCAGAGAGACATGGCAGAGAGACATAGCAGAGAGACATAGCAGAGAGACATGGCAGAGAGACATGGCAGAGAGACATGGCAGAGAGACATGGCAGAGAGACATGGCAGAGAGACATGGCAGAGAGACATAGCAGAGAGACATGGCAGAGAGACATGGCAGAGAGACATGGCAGAGAGACATGGCAGAGAGACATGGCAGAGAGACATGGCAGAGAGACATGGCAGAGAGACATGGCAGAGAGACATGGCAGAGAGACATGGCAGAGAGACATGGCAGAGAGACATAGCAGAGAGACATGGCAGAGAGACATAGCAGAGAGACATGGCAGAGAGACATGGCAGAGAGACATGGCAGAGAGACATGGCAGAGAGACATGGCTCCTCTGCACTCTCCAATCACAATTGCCACTCTGCTGCCCACCAGAGACAAGCACATGCATCCAAACTCAACCACTGCTATCAGCGCTCAACAGATGCTAGTGCCCCTCAACCAGGAGCTTCACAGTCGCAGCTACCGCATGCCCCACTCACGTGCAGTTGGCATGCACGTTCTCTGTGACCTCCACACACCTGCCCACCATGGGCGGACACAGCACGCGGAACTCCCCCAGGTCTTGCGGCGACCACGCCTGCTGAAACCGCACCCCACGCGCAAACCAGAGCGGCGTATCAAGCCGGAAAGAAGCCGCATTGCCTGCCTGCTCCATGAGACACCAGAAGGTGCCATGCAAACCACATTCTCGATGACCGTACTCACATGCAGCCGCTGCCCATACCCAGGTTTTGAGACGTCTCAATACTCACGTGCAGTTGGCGTGCACATTCTCTGTGACCTCCACGCATCCGCCCACCATGGGCGGGCACAGCACTCGAAACTCCCCCAGATCTTGCAGCGACCACGCCTGCTGAAATCGCCCTCCACGGGCGAACCAGAGTGGCGTGTCCAGCCTCAGGAAGGCCACATCGCCCGCCTGCTCCATGAGGCACCGGAAGGCACCGTGGAAGCCCGCATACGTGTCCTCATCGTCACATGTCCCCCGCCCGTTCACTGACACGCACCCACTGCACACCCGCCCCGTGTCCCCCTGCCCTGCGTTTCCCCCTTCCTCTCCCACCACCCCTTCCCCACCCCCACCTCCCCCCCCTCCAGCAGTGGCAGCAGCAGTGGTGCTGAGGGGGCCGAGGGTGCCGTCGCCCCCCGGTGCGCAGGACTCAGGGAACACGGCCTTCACTAGAGTCACATCCGCTGGCTCACCCTCCACGAATGGTGGCGCTGCAAACCCACCTCCTAGCCCCACTCCTCCTCCTCCGCCCCTTCCCGTTACACCCGCTCCCCCACCCACTCCTCCCCCACCTCTCGCCCCTCCCACTCCTCCTGCCTTCCCCCCAAAACCCTCACTCCCCCCACTGCTCCCGCCGCTGCTCCCCCTACTCCCTGCACCCCCCGCACCCCCAGCGCCCCCCGCACCTCCGAGCTGGGACTGGAGGTCAAGGGCGAGCAGGGAGCGCACGGGGAGGTCCCAGCCAGCAGCGGAGGCGTAGAGCGGGTGGCACGTCTTGAAGCGGTGCAGCTGCTGCCAGGGACCGGCCGGGATGCTGGACGGCAGGGGCGCCGTGGGGGAGAGGGGAGACGAGGTGGTGCTGGGGGTGGCGGCGGTGCTGCTGCTACTGCTGCTGCTGTGTGATGTGCCTTGGACCGTCTGTGTGTCAGTTTGGTTTCCAAGCGAAGAGCTACCCGCACCACCACTGCTACCGCCACTGCTGCTGTTGAAACCCGAACTGCCTCCCTCACCCACCGCACCCTCTCTCCCATCCCTATCTCCTCCCACTCCCCCCATCCCAACACCCTCACTCCCCTTCAGCCCCTCACTCCCCGCCTCCCCCCGCCCTGCATCGCTAGCATCACACACATCCCTGCGCACGACAGCAACAGCGGGGTAGGTCTCGCCGCCAGCCGCTCGCTCATGAGGGCCTTCATGCGGGCGTGCAGGAAGGCTCGGAACGCCAGCCCCGCGTCTAACGAGACGAGCTCCGCTTGAGAGGCCGCTATGGCGCCCATGCACTCCTGCTTGCTGCGCCGCTGCACACTGGGGTTGAGGGAAAGGGGAACGGGGCGGCCATGAGGGCAATGCATGCTTACGATTGATCCGCCGCTGGAGCACTGCTGACCCGCGCATGACTGGCTGCTATGGCGCCCATGCACTCCTGCCTACTCCGCCGCTGCACACTGGCATGCCATGGGGCGGGAGGGACGAGGGGACGAGGGTACGGGAAAATGCATGATAATGGCTGATCAACCAGGAAGGGAGGCCGCCCCCCCATGCACTCGTGCTTGCTGCTCCGCTGTGCACAGCAGAAGCGTGGGTATCATATCATTGAGCAGCATGCCATTCATCCACCACTGCACCACTGCCTGCTTACCCCCGCTTGCCTGGCCGCTATGGCGCCCAGCCCATGCACTCCTGCGAGCTGGCTATTGCATGCACGGTGCGGGGCAGGTTCGCTTGGGAGGCAGAGGAACGGAATGGGGGGATAAACCTCAATTGGGGAGAAGGGGGGACGCTTTCCAGGTGGAGAAGAGGAGGGAGATACGATTGCCCCATGAACAGACCAATTTCCTTCCTCCTTCCCGACCCCCAACTCTCTGCACATCCCTGCTTGACCCACCAGGACCACAGCTGACCCACCAGGACCACAGCTGGCTGGCAGTGGACAGTGCCGGCACCACCTCCCCACAGAAGGCGCACTCCCCCCGCCCCACGCAGCACCACCGCACCTCCTCCCGCCCTCCCCCTCTCCCCCCCGCCTGCCCTGTGTGCCCCGCATGCCCCCCTTCCCCCGCCTGGCCCCCAAGCTCTTCTGCCGGGGGGAAGCCATCAGAGGCGGGGGGCTGCAGGGGCGAGCTGGGGGGAGCGGCATCTGAGGCAGGGGCGTGCGAAGGATTCTGCAACGAGGCATCTGACGTGGCATCTGACGAGGCATCTGACGTGGCATCTGACGTGGCACCTGAAGTGGCATCTGACGTGGCATCTGGCGAGGGGCCCCCATCCCCGTTTCCACCTTGCGGGAGCGCTGGCGTCTCTCCCCCATCGCTGCCAGGCGAAGAGGACGCTTCCCCCGAGACACCCCCTTGAGAACCCCCCTGGGGGGAACCAGCAGGCGCACGTGCGGAAGGGGGGGCGGAGACTGAGGGGTGTGCGGGGTGAAGCCGGGGGCGGGTGTGGGGAGAGAGGTGTGGCGGTCGGGGGAGGTGGTTCGAGCCAGAAGGGTCGTTTCCCGCGTTACTGTCCACCCGTGCTGCTTGCGAAGTGAGATCTGCCGGCGAAGCGGGGTCTGCCGAAGGAGAGGCATGGGAGGAGTCTTGCGAGGGGTCTTGGGAGGGGTCTTGGGAGGGGTCCATGGGGGCAGGCAGACGCGCGTCGCGAGAGGGAGGAGGCGAAGGGGGCGGAGAGGAGGACGACGAGGGAGAAAAAGCCGTGGTGCGCGTCGAGGAATTTGGGGAATCCGTTGCGGAGACAGCCGCCTCGCTGCTAGTAACGCCAGCATTCGTAGCATCGCCTACACTGGCTGTTGATGTGACTGTAGCGGGGACAGCTACACCCGCACCGGAATTGATGCTGTGACTGATCGATCCGGTCATGGGAGCACCTGTATCGGATGTGACTGTAGCGGGGGTGACCGTGGTGTCTGTTGGTTCACTGGCGGATGTCGCTGTATCGGGGTCTGGGAAACTCCGCTCGCCCATCAGGTCGGCGTACGTTGTCAGCCGCCGGGCTCCGTTCCAATATCGAGGACTATCTGCGGTGATTCGCTCGTGAGCAAATTCGTCCACACTCGCGAACACATTCGCGAAACGTAACAACAGAAGCTGCGACACGAAAAGCAACGCAGTAAGCCGACCCATCATGGGTTCTAAACGCGCTCCTACTCGCGGCCTGGCCATCATCATGGGCAGCAGACCCATGCACACATATCATTCGCGAACATGATTGGTCGTCGGTCGTTTTCACCTTCTCCAGGGGCGTCTCTGTAGTCGCTCGCAGGCTGTAGCGGCGGAGAGTACGGCAACATGAAACCAAAAGCTTTGTGCAGAGGTTCATGTCACACTGCCTAGCGCTAACCTTCCTTCCTCGGATGATTTGGGGCTGCTCCGTAACACCTATAACCGGGAAGTGGGTGTTTCTTAAAAGGAGTCTTTATGCCATTCACTTTGGTGATTCTAATGAAGCGAAACATAAGGTAAGGCCGCTGCATTACAGCCAGTTGCATTTTGTTACGATATGAAATTACATGAGTAAGGCATTCCTGTATGCTGCAGGAGCCGACTCTACCGAGTACGAAGTCGAGGAGTCAGAAGAGTCGAAGCGGCGCAGCAACCGTCTGACCAAGACCGATGCAGGCAGAAACATTTGAAGTGAAAAGAGCGGGAACAGGTTTGAAACGGGTTCCCGCGCCGCACGGTTTGAATTTCGCTGCAATAAGGGAATGTACCCCTTAGAGTACATGGCTAGCCTAGGTCTTTTCGTATTCCCCTGTATTCTTATATAAACCCGATGTATGTATGTCTTTATTAACTCAGTCATTTACATTCACTCTGACCTGAGATTCAAACTTCTGCTGCAACACTACTCTGCGATCAACCCTGAGCGATCCTTCGCTAAGTCCCACTTGGGATTGTAACATGGTATGAGAGCTACTCAGGGATTCTTCGCATAATCAATTCCTTGAATTTCGCCGAACCAAGATCTGGCGAGCGGCACACGCTCCAAGACCAAGATGGCCGGAGGATCCGGAGGCCAAACAAATCTGACGGCTAAAGGACAAACCAACCCGGCTGCGACAAATGAGGCGACAACTATGATCGGCACTGCCGCACTCGAGCAGTTATTCGCTCGACTTTCAACCATGGAGAAAGAACTCCAAGATTTGCGCAAAGGCGATGCGGGAACCTCTTCCCATCCAGCTCAACCTGGACAACCGGCAACGAAAAGCCGTGATACCGCCGCGCACACCTTCTCCCTCGACACAGACAAATCAACAACAACTGCCCCCCGTCCAAGTGATGAAGTTATTAACTCTGCGCAAGCACGCTTCCTCAGCGTTTCAAAAATCAAGACTACCGCTGCCTTCGACGGCAAGGATTTCTATACATGGAGTTTTGAGCTTGAGCTCCTCCTACAGACAGCGCAGATCTACCATTACTTCGACGGCTCCTATTCTAAACCGGTGGACGACGCCAGGGCTCAGTACTACAGCGAGTCCCTCATGGCGTATAGCGTGCTGCTACGCAACATGTCGCCTGCAGAGCAACTAAGCATCCGCTCCTATAAAGAGAGCGCCGCTCCAGCCTTGGAAGCCTGGAAGCACCTCGTTGAGGTTTATCAACCGAAGGACTCGGTTACAGCCAGCAGGCTCCTGCAGCAACTCATGGAGACAAAGATGGGGCACGGGGAGAAAGCGAACTCTTATATTAACCGCTGTCGCAACATCCGTGACCAGATCACGAAGCATGGGAGCGCAATCTCGGAAGAGATCTTCGTCAACATAGTCCTTCAAGGACTCGGGCCAGAGTGGAAGCCCTGCAAAGCGCTACTCCGACAACGAGGAATCATCTCTGAAGCCGCGCTATGCGCCGCACTCCTGACTGAACAGCAGGACATGGACTCGAGCAGAACAAGCGCTGCGCCGCGCCGAGAGCGCCTCGCCTTCTACGCTGACAACCGTGAAGAGCGACGACATATGCAAGTCTTCGGACATTCAACGGATCGATGCAAGTCCCGATCCAACTATCGCCACCCAAATTCCACTCACCACAACAACTGGGTCGGCCGACAAGATGCTCGTCACTCTCAGTCTCAGCATCATACACCTCGTCCTCCTGCACAACCTCAACATCAGCAAACTCAAGGACCTCAATCAGGAGCTCCTAGGAACATCATCGCAAATATGACGACGCGCCGACGTCGCACTGCTGAACCTGACGAGGAAAATGAGATTCAAGGGAGACTCCTTGAACCAGAAGAGGGTTGGAATAATCCCCTCACTGAAGATCACTATTACCGGTATGACGAAGACGAGCAGGATTGGAACCTACCAATCACCTTGCGGGAAAGCCCGCTGCATGACAATCAACACTACGTACCGGTGGGATGGAAGGAGGATGAAGACCCTCTCTTCCATAGTCGCTACAAGGCAACCTTGGTGACCCCGCGACTGGCGCTACTTCTGCGCAGAAACAACACTGACAACCACAACACCTGGTACCTGGACAGCTGCTGCGGACAGCACATGGTGGGATCCACGCGATACGTCTCGAACCTGAGCCGCGCTCCCCCAACTTACGTCACCGTCGCCAACAACGAGCAGCTGCGCGCTAATGCGCAAGGCATCGTGGTCCTGCAAGCACGAGACAGCAACACACACATTTCGTTCAACGACGTACTCTACGTCCCGAATCTTCGGTTTAATCTTCTCTCGGCAAGACAACTTCGCGACTGCGGCGTCATCCTCACCACAGACCTCGCCACACGTGACCTCATTCTCATCTACGCTCCCCCGGATACACCTCCCGAGTCATTCAAGTATCTCGGACGAGCCCGCTCGATCAACGGAATCTACGTCCTAGACTTCGACGTACCTTCCTGCCAAGCTTCATCCGACGAGCTCGTAGACCTCGTTCCCCTCGAGTTCGCCTACACAAGCAAGTGGGAGCACCCAGACGGACGACCATGGGTTCGCCGCAGCCCTCATCCCCGCGAGATCAATCTGCACGAGCCAGACATTAATGGACTCTGCACCACCTGCCACACACCCACGGCGAGCCACACAGACCAAGTCGAAAAGGAATACGCGGCAATTCAGGAAGCAGAGAGTGCCGAGGCAGAACCTACGGGGATGACACAAGACGAGCTTGCCGTGACAACTCATCGCATCTTTGGCGAACCAAACGACGACTTCGGGCAACCGCGTGTCGAACGACCGACACCATATGCAGAGACGCTCCGGTTTTTTTTACGAGCTAACACCGGCACCTACGACGAGGAGGGACGCCCACGACCCTACCCTCGCGAAGTCTACCGCACGGAGATTGACACAGCCTGGAAGGATCCGGACGCAGCAGAGGAGCTAAGCGTCAAGGAAGAAGAAGACAAGGCACGGGCGGAAAAGAAACAGAAACTATTTGAGGAACGCGTCGCGGCTGGATGGGACGAGGAGTCCGCACGACGAGGCGCATGGGGAGACGAGGATTACGAACCAGAAGAAGGCGCAACCTGGGGATCCGCCACTGGAGCATGGGGAGCCAGCGCCAGCAGCACGTTCTGTTGTAAAGTAGAGGTGAACGAGAATGGATGAAACTAGGTAGGAGGGAGGAAACCCTAACAAAGTTGTACCCCCTAAGGCTAAACCCACTATAGCCTACACAATTTAAACATATAATGTTTGACACACCCCCATAGGCTAAGTGGGAGACAACCAGATGGTCACAAGACTAGTCAAAGCAAAGCAAAGCAAGCTCAGGGTGGATCTCAAGGAAACCACACAAATTCTGAGCACAAGCAAGTGGTCACAAGACCAGTTCACATGCAGGTTGATAGTATAACAAGAGATACAGCGATCACAACCTAGCAAGAGTAAACATGCAGGTATATATATATAGAGATCACAGTACAAGCAGAGTCAAGAAGTAAGCAAGTGAGGCCCAGTAGGCACAAGGCCTAGAACAGTACAGAAGCGCTGATGGTCACAAGGCTGAAGCGCCTTGGTGAACACATCAGCAGTGTTGGCCCGAGTGGCCACATAACGCAGACGAAGCTGACCGCGCTGCTGCAGCTCTCGAGCAAGGAAGTAGCGTAGAGCGATATGCTTCGTTCTGTGCTCCAGTCTGTGCTCCTGACACAAGGCAATGGCAGCCTTGTTGTCGACGTACAGCACTGGAGGAGAACGAGGCCGCTCTCCCAAGTCGGTCAGCAGGTAGGTGAGCCAGCGTAACTCCTGTGCAGCCATGGCTGTGGCGTAGATCTCAGCCTCACAACTGGAGCTGAGAACAGAAGACGAGCGTGTAGAACGCCAAGAAACTGAACCAGAGCCAAGGCTGAAGGTGTAACCCTGAGACGACCGCTGAGTAGCCTGGTCGTCAGCCCAAGACGCGTCTGAGTGCCCAGTGAGTACAACTCGGTCTCGTCCTCCAAGCACTAGCCCCATGCCCGACGTACTGCACAAGTAGCGCAACACCCTCTTAGCGGCATCCATGTGCTCCTTCCGGTGACGGCCAGGAGCGACATAGCGTGCAAGGATGCTAAGAGGGTATGCAAGGTCAGGTCGAGTGCAGGTCATCAGGTACATGAGGCAGCCCACAAGCTCTGGATACGGGCCACTCGGCTCTACGGACTCATCCGAAGGCAGAGCTGAGAGCGAGTGACCGGTAGGCAGAGGAGTGGGCTGAGGCGAGGAGTACGTGAAGCGGAAGCGCTGAAGGACCTGCTGCACCATGTGTGACTGAGTCAAGGTGATGGTGCGCCGTGCTCTGTCCCGGGTGATCCGCAAGCCAAGATAACTTGTCAGTTCACCCAGGTCTGTGCACGTGTGTCTCTTCTGCAGCTCCGACTTCACGTGGGCGAGTGCCGCAGTGTCAGCAGTGGCAAAGACCAAGTCGTCGACGTACACGAGGATGTAGAACGGCGGCAGCGAGGTGTCGGTGCGTAGAAACAGCGACGGGTCAGCAGTAGAAGGAGCGAACCCAAGAGC